TCGTTCGAAAGCGTATCCCCGAACTGCGAAAGACTGGCGCATCAGGCTGGCTGGCTGGCTGGCTTGGTTGGTTGATTGAGACGGTTCACGTCGGATCTGCTTCCGATAGCTGGCTCGCTGCGTTGAGGATGAGGAGGAGCAGCAGCGGCGTTCGGGGCCGCCCCGACGAGAATTTCCAAATTGGCGCCCACGCACGCGCCCTCACCAAAAAAAAAGGCCAAAAAGCCGAAAAAAGAGAGTGCGCTGCTGCTGCTGGCTGCCTGGCTGCCTGGCTGAGCTCGTTGGTCTGCGCAAAGTGGAGAAATGCAGCCCAGGCGAGCTGCAGGGGCTAGCGGGAGTCAACCCAGCAGAGCAACCAACACCGCACCGGTTCCGCCAAAGCACGCACGCACGCAACACGCACGCACGCACGCATGCCCTCGACCCCCTCACCTCTCGCAGCAGTTGCCTTCCTCCATCTTGCCTCCGTCCTCACCACCCTCGGCGTCAACCGCCATCCTATCCAGCGGCGACTCTCATGGCGGATCCCAAACGCGCCACCTCGGCCTCACGCAGCCCATCGCGTGCACAGCCCAACTCGGGTCTCACCGTCTCCACTCGGCCACCCGCGGCTGACACCACCGACAACCATGTCGATCACCACAACGCTCATCAATCCGCACCATCCTCCGCACGTCCTCGTCTAGCCGGTCGCCGCACCATGTCCTCCAAGTCCGACACCAGACGTCTCTCTTCGCTCTTTGTGCCTCCCACCACGGACAACGCTGCCCAACCGCACTCCTCCTCCCGCCTCGCCGCCCTCTCCAAGGGCATCTCGGGCGCGCTCTCCGGCTCCGCCTCCATCGCCTCCCTCCGAGAGCCCCTCAGTCCGATTCGCTCCTTCTATGGAGGCCTCACCGGTCAGGCCATCCCCGGCTCCCGCAAGCGCTCCAAGCAGGACTTTCGCTCTTACGACGACGCCACCTTTGAAGACGAAATGAACCTCCCCGGCTCCGGCGGCAACGGCGTTCGCGTCTGGTACGAATCCTACACCACCATCGACTGGATCCACGACGCCATCAAAGAGAGCTCCCGTCTACGTCGCATCCGCAATCTCCGCGGCATCCGCGGTTTCGCAATCAACAGCTGGGATCGTCTCCAGGGGTGGATAATCGTCACCATCACCGGCATCGTCACCGCTCTCATCGCCGGCTGCATCGTCAAATCCGAAGCCGTCCTCTTCGATCTCAAGGACGGCTACTGCGCCAAAGATTGGAGGCTCGCAAAACGCTTCTGCTGCCCCTACGGCAACGCGCCCGACTGGGACCATCCCGACATGGCTTCCGCTTCCGCTTCCGCTTCCTGGTCCTACCGCACACGCTTCCTTCCCAACGCCGCCATCCCCACCTCGCCGGCGGATGCGCTCCAGTCGCTCGTATCCGGCGTCGGCGTCGGAAACCGCATCCTTTCCGGCTGGGCCGCCCCAGTCGCCGGTAGCCCCGCCTGGCACAGACAGCCTTCGTTCCCATCGCAACACGCCAACGCCTCGCTCTCCGCCATGCTCTCTCCCGTCGACTCCGAAACCGAAGACTGCCCCGGCTGGATCTCCTGGGGTCAGAAATTCGGCTCCACCGACTCTCACAACTGGGCCGCCAGCTACTCGATGTACTTTGTCGTCGCCATCCTCTGGGCCTCCATCGCCAGCATCCTCACCATCTACCTCACATCCAGCGAACTCTACCTCAAGGACCCCGCCAGCCAATCGTCTGCCACCGCCAACCTCAACCAAAAACCTTCTTCTTCTTCCGACGGCGACGCCCGTCAACACGGCGACAGCTCTGACCAGGAGCCCACCGAGACTTCCGCCCTCCTCCCAAACGCCTCCTCCGGCGCCAACCGTCCCGATCGTCTGCACTCCCGTGACTTTGCCCGTCGCGCCAACGAGCAGCGCGCTTCCAAAGCCATCCTCCCACGCAAGGTGCTCTACTTTGCCACCGGCTCCGGTATCTCCGAGGTCAAATGCATCTTGAGCGGCTTTGTCATCCACGGCTATCTCGGCTTCTGGACGCTCTTCACAAAGTCCGTCGGCCTCACCTTGTCCGTCGCCTCGGGCCTCTCGCTCGGCAAGGAGGGTCCCTTTGTCCACATTGCCTCGTGCGTCGGCAACATCGTCTGTCGCATCTTCCCCAAGTACGAGAACAACGAGGGCAAGCGTCGCGAGATGCTCTCCTGCGCCTGTGCCGCCGGCGTAGCCGTCGCCTTTGGTGCGCCCGTCGGCGGCGTCCTCTTCTCGCTCGAGGAGGTCAGCTACTACTTTCCCAGCAAGGTCATGTTCCGCTCCTTCTTCTGTGCCATGGTCGCCGCTGCCACGCTCCGCGCCATCGACCCCTTTGGCACGGGCAAGATCGTGCTCTTCCAAGTGACGTACGACAAGGACTGGCACTTTTACGAGATGCTCTTCTTTGTGCTCATCGGCATCTTTGGCGGCCTCTACGGCGCCTACTTCACCAAGCTCAACATGTTTTGGGCCAAAAACGTGCGCGCAAAGACGTGGATGGCGCGCCACCCCATCCTCGAGGTCGTCTTCATCACCGTCGCCACCGCCGCCTTGTCCTTCTTCAACGGCTACACGCGCATGGGCGGCGTCGAGCTCATCGCCGATCTCTTCAGCGAGTGCCACGAGCACGAGTCGCTCGAGGGCCTCTGCGTCTCGCAGCCCTCGCAGATCAAGCCGCTCATCCTCTCGATCCTCTTTGCCATGGTCCTCAAGGGCCTCCTCACCGTCGTCACGTTTGGCATCAAGCTGCCCGCCGGCATCTTCATCCCCACCTTGGCAGTCGGCGCCTGCTTTGGCCGCATCGTGGGTCTGCTCGTCCAGTACGTCCAGTGGACGCATCCGGACCTGGGCTTCTTCAGCTGGTGTCCTGCCTCGGACTCGGCGTGCATCGTGCCCGGTGTTTATGCGATGGTGGGTGCGGCGGCAGCGCTCTCCGGCGTCACGCGCACCACCGTCTCGCTCGCCGTGATCATGTTTGAGCTCACGGGCACGCTGACGTACTCGGTGCCCGTCATGCTTTCCATCCTCGTGGCCAAGACGATCGCCGATGCGCTCGAGCACAAGGGCATCTACGACCTCGTCATCGAGTTTAGCGGACTGCCGTACCTCGACAGCAAGACCGAGTACATCTGGAACGGCGTCAACGTCACCGATGCCATGGAGACCGAGGTGGAGGTCATCTGCCTCGACGCCTTCAACTCGCTCCAGTCGCTCGCTGACAAGCTCGATCGTCTTGCCCAGGGGTCGGGCTACACCGATGGCGGATTTCCGATTGTCAGCCGCGTTGCCACCGCCACGTCGTCGGCCATGCCGGCCTCTCCGTTGCTTTCAGCTAGTCTTGGATCGCTGACGGATGCGGCAGCGCCGAGTCCGGGCTCGGATTCGGCGTACCAGATGGTGGGCTACATTGCTGCGAGCGAGTTGGAGCATGCCTTGACGCGGGCGGTTCGGGCTGATGCCGAGATGCGGCCCGAGGTGACGCGATGCTCGTTCAACAACATCCCCTTTGTGCGCGCCGAGAATGAGGGCGAAGCGAATGTGCGCGATTCGGTGCTGTTTACTGCTTCAGACCCTCTGGATCTCAGTCGGTACGTCGACAAGGCACCCATCACGGTGCAGATCCATTCGCCGCTCGAGCTGGTGCACCAGTACTTTACGCGGCTTGGTGTGCGATACCTCATCGTGGTTGACGAGCGCGGCCTGTACCGCGGCGTCATCTTCAAAAAGAGCTATCTCAAGTTCCTCGACGACCTCGAGAAGCAGTCGGGACATTGACGTGCGCCGTCCCCTTAGCGATGCTCATGAACACCTTTACGAACACTTTTGAATGCGCAGCAAGAGACACAGTAGAAATGCAGTTTGACTTTTTCAACTAGACCAGACAAGGTGGCATGGGCGGTTGGGGGTCGGCGCTTGATTGTGGCACGACCATGCTGTGTCGCTAGCCACATTGGTGTTGAGGATGGGGTGGACTAATAGCTGGCGCCGAAGACGAGCTCTTCGTCAAAGAGTTCGATGAATTGTTCGTTGAGGATGCGGTACTTCTGACCGCCCACAAAGCGCCTGTACTCCTCGAGGATAGCGCTTAGATTCCATCTCTGTAGCTTGCGGAAGCATCCAACCACAGTGCCTGTACGATGGCGACCCAAATTGCACATGACAAGCACGGGATAAGTGGCAGGTTGGACCAGCAGATGCAATGCCTGCAGCACCACTTCTTCCGTGATAGGATCCCAGGCGTTGGTCGAATAGAGGACGCCGAGATGGTGCAGCTCGATGTTTTGGTCCACGCAAAAGTCGAGGAATCCTGCCTCGGGTTCTTCGGGCGCCAACCAGATGACACTCTTCAGGCCGAGCTTCTCGAGGAAGGGAAAGTTGAGCTGGTCCGGTTGACCGGACCGGTAGAAGTTTTCTTCAACCATGCCATAGTTGGGTGGTGGCACCAGCATGGTGTACGGCACACGCGCACACACAGGCGAGCCCTTCACCGATGCCAATTGATGAGCGAGATGGTGGTGGTGGTGGTGGTGGTGGTGGT